TGAATTTTCAAACATCCAAAATAGAACATTGAGCGTGGTGATACTGGGAGGGTGGAGGGAGGGTGGGGTGGAAACTGATGTCTGCTAGCAACTCCCCCTCTTACTTGTATACACCAAGTCTTTGGCTGTGTTCTAGAAACACTCATACACGATTCAACTCATAGTCCAACCTTACGCTTGACGGATAGGAACACAATTTTATATTATGAACTCAGTTCATTTGATAGACTTCAAAAGGCACAATACTTTTCATACATCAGTCAAATAATGTAGAAATTCTAAAAAATCAAATGGTGAACAAAATTTCTGAAAATCACATGTATTGGTGCATCCTAGAGAAGAGGAGGGGCAAGACAGGCTCCACCTATTTTCATAAGTTTCATCAAAAGGCTATGTACTAAAACTCCTTTCTAAGATCTTATACCAGGTGGGGAACATGTTTTCTAAGCTAGATCTAGGAAGTGGAGTGTGAAATCAATCCTGTCTCACTCCTCTCAATATCTTTCCATTGGTTAAAGAATTAAAAAACAACACTAAGGTGTCTCATAGTGTTTCAGAGTGGTCAATAAGTATGCTTTGTTTTGTTTTTAACTTAAATCATCTTATGGTGGGCTCTCACAGATAAGCATGCTGTACTTTAAACAAAACCACTTTCCCCTAGAAACAGCAAAACATCACTAGTATTTTTCTGACTATATAATCAAAAGTATTGGGAGGGGCCAGGCGGCATATCTGTGGGCCTTGTCTCACACATACACATGTGAGTAGGTGGCAGGGCTTTTGTAATCATTATCAAAGTGAAATTTTATTTTTAAACCTCTAGTCTGATTTAAAGCCTGCTTTAGTAGGATTCCGACAGCACCCGTGCAGAAACACTCGAGGGAGAGGCTCATTGCAGCATGTGTGCCGCTCTTGGTGCTGCCCCGGGCAGCCAGTGTTGCTCCGTCAGGTACTGCATTCCGAGGCTGGTGTGTGGGAATGGAGAGCACTGTGTTTGCCAGCTTCAGGTCAGCAGCAGCCTCTTAGGTGACAGGCTTCTGTTCTTGGCCAGTTTCTCAAGAGAGTCATTTCTGAGATCAGTTTGGGTTCCAACAAGCCAAAAAAAAAAGTCTTTGGACAGTGATGTGTTGTTTCAGGCACTTGCTTTCCTTTCACATTTTCAAATAAGGATGGAGAGACCACTAAAAAAGACTAAAGATGCATCTGTTTGTGGGTAGCTCGTAATTTGCCATAATCCTCTCTCTCAGTAAATCCAAGAGTATATGACTATCAACATAACTGTGATTGCATAGTTGTCAAAAACAGTTGATAAATATTAGAGGAAATTTGTTGTGTACGATACCAAGAGACATGTTTTACTAATATACTCTCTTCCACAAGGACACACTATTGTCTACAATGCTGAAATCCTTTTGTATCTACTTTAAATATTTCAAATTTGATGATAACCTAACAGTTAGAGCAAGAGGAGAAAAATAAACCTCCAGCCTCCTGAAGAAAAGAAAGATTAGAGCCGAAAATAAAACAGTAGAAACAACAAGATAAAGGATTTACAAAATTGACGAGCCACTGGTAAACTTAGAGAAGGAAAAGATTCAAATATGCATAGAAATTAAAGGGCAACAGCCCAACAGAACCAGCTAAAATTAAAATGATTACTCAGTACTGTGAAGGACTCTATTTTCAACAAATTTGAAAACCTAGAAGCAATGGACACATTTCTAGAAACACAATCCCGACATGAACACTGGCTGACACAGACAGCCTCAAAGACACACAACAAAAGAAGAAACCAATCAAGTTGTTTAAAAAACTCCTAACACACCCCCTACCCGTACCACCACCACCAGAATGAAAAAAAGTCCACCAGTTTTATTAGTGAGCTCTACCAACAATTCAGAGAAAAATTGACACCAATTCTACTTAATATCCATTGTGAACGTAGATTAAAAATTCTCGACAAAGCACCAATAACAACAACATACCATGGCCAAGTAGGATTCATTCCAGGTGTGCGAGGATGGCGCAACATTAGAAAAACAATCCCTGTCGCCCATCATACAGCTAAAACAAGGGAAAAGAGCTACATGATTATATTAGTTGCTGCAGAAAAGTCTGTTGATCAAATCTAACTCCCATTACTGATTAAAAAACAACAACAAAATGGGAATAGAAGGAACAAAATTGTTGGAAATGACTGAAAGATTCAGCCATATGGCACAGCACAAGATCCGCACTCGGGAGAGGTTGCAGAGAGATGGAAACCCTCATGCACTGCTGGTACGACTGAAACAGTACAACCACTACGGGAAGCATTATTGTACTTCTTAAATATGGGATTAGGAATATTAATATGACCCAGCAATCCATCTAATTGATATGTGTCCTTCAGAAATAAGGAACATGGCACAGACAGATGTATGCATACCAGTGTTTGTTGCAGCACATTCACAATAGCAAGAAGATGGAAACAAATGCCCATCAGTGGAAGAATGGGTAACTAAACTTTGGTAGATAGATGCAATCGAACACACATTAAAGAATAATGATAAATCTATAAAACGCTTCATGACTTGAATTAGATGACATGCTGAGTGAAA